AGGTGAAATTAGGACTAGCAGAGCCATCTATGGACAGAGATATTTCACAAAAATATAAAAAAATGAGTACTGCATTTCCCTCATTCAAAGTGGGCCATTTCACACAGCTCTAGCCTGTACCGTATCATTCTAACCTTGTGATTAATATTTCCCTGTCAAAACCAAGGCGGAACACAAATATGGCAAACTGGCCTCTTTTCCAAAAACTAGGCAAGTTACTACTTTCTCAATTGTGTAACCTTAACCATTAAGAGGATGATCTACTGAAAATAATCATTCATGTTGCAAATTTGGCCATACCTAAAAAAAAAGCCTACCACTCTTGTTTACACAGGTCACCGATGTTTTAATGACAGGGTTGCAGAATAAACAAAAACAAAAAACAAAAATGAAAAAGATATCCTACATAAATTATTTTACTAAAGGAAACTCACACACGTTCAAATCTGAACCATGAACCACTAAGGGTGAGAATGGCGTGCTATTTGAGCATCTGGCCTCATCCTGCCATGGATCACACCAGTCACCTAAAACGCCTGCTCACCCTAAGCCACTGAAAAAAACAAACACATCCCATACAATTATCCAATAGATCCTCCTCCAATGATTTATCAGGAGACTATAGACTCCCCCTCTACAAATCTACCTGTAAACCTGTTATTGAAGAAGCAGTTATTAAGACTGATGATACAGATCATAAAATTACATTGAATTGATTGAGTGTCCTCTTAAAACACAATGGCATAACACAGGTAATTTCAAATTTAGGCCAGGTGCGCATACAAATTGTAAATTTGATGAATCTCTTATGAAAGAGGAAAGTTATCGGTTTTATGTAAAAAAAAAAAAGGCAATAATACATCCAATCCCCAAGGCAGGAACATTTTAAGATCCCGAATCTTCGTTCACACTTATGCACTACTAATAAACACCTTGGTACCTCTGATAATAATACTTTCCTTAGATCTTTCACTTGAAATTTCCAAATCAATACTAACCTTTCGCAATTTAGAGAAAGCTTTTGAACAACCTGATTCAAATGCCATTACTTCTATCCTCATAAAGGACATAACCAGCATTTTACAGAATTACACACTGGTAGATGAACCACAGTCCGTTATCAGAGGCAGCTCTTAGAAGAACCTAAACTTTTGAGAAAGGCAAACCACGGAGCTGCCAATTCAGTTATGCTTTATGAATAACACTAATCTGTGGTCATATACTGATGACCTACAACTAGTAGCAACTGGAACAACACATTCGACCTCTTCACTGATAAATGGAATTTGCTTGGTCTCAAAATAAATCCAAGTAATTGTCAGTAATCTATACATCCTCCTCCACACATACAACACTAGCACATTAAACCATAAAAAAACATCAGTCTACATTGGACTCAACAAAGTGTTTAAGGGACACATCTGCTTCTGAAAAACACAACTGTACTATTATTATTTAAAAAATTTCCTCAGCTGAAATTGCTAATATGAAAACAACACAGGACCAGGCTATGAGATTTAATTCCTGGAGCCACCTCTTGGACAAGACTTCCCTCTAATCTATGTTTTCTTTACAACGCATGACTAAACGCACAACTGCCTCGTATATGGCCCAATCTTTCTTCCACAATCCAATTTCCATTACACTTCTTACAGATGGAATCCGTCCCCTAAGGATTAATTGGCACACACAATATTCCTCATTGCAATTAAATCTAGAAGGCAATACCTCATTACTATTGCTACTATTTTCCATAAAAAAGCAGTAGCCTCTCGCGTAGCTGTAACGACTCAAAGCAAGAGAAACATTGTACACTTTCCATTTTGAAAATTATCGGTGCGTAATGTCAAGTAGGCATTAATTCTGAATTAATGTGCTGTCAACTTGTTCTGCCACTATATTTACAGAACATATACGCTCACCGGACATAAAATCAGGCCACAAGCTCCAATAAGTACTTATGATATAAATAGATTGGTAGAATAAACTGACAGCACATTAATTCTAAGCTATAGAAGTCAATACAGGTGCGTGATGGGCAATTTTTTTTTTCTGGCAGCACTAAGGTATATGAGTCAGTAGAGTGATAAACTAGTAATATAGAGAAAGACAGATATATAGGCAGAAATATATAGATCTATGTATGAATATTTTTTTTTCCTGACTTTGTTAACTTAACCTATCACTGAAACTGATTTTTGTTTCCTCCTAAGCCTATCCATTTTGTTACTTTGTGTACGTAGTATTTTTTTTCATATTCAAAATTTGAACAACAGAAAAGGCACTCGGACTGATCCCATATTGAGGATGTTAACTACAGCTTGGTCTGGCCTAGGCTTTAAGACATGTACTCAATGCAACTCAAAGCTCCATTGACAACTAAACAGAATCCTAGTCAGCTATCAACAACGTTCATGGGCAAACTCCCTCAGACATCTTCCCAACAAGAACGATGTTTGTTAAGCTGCAACCGCGTCAGAGGAACTACTCTCATACTAGCCTGGAT